ATCTATATCACTGGCAGTGTCGTCAACTTCACTGTACCACATGAGGACAGTTTCCTCAAAATCTTTGTCACGTAACCGAACTCTTTTCGATGGACCGCCCATATCGCAATATAAACAATTTTCATATAAACGCACAGGTGACGCATTTTTTTTTTTTTGGTGAGGGGGGAATGCGTTTACGCACCATACCATAGCCCGAGCTACGGCGTGTGTGGGACTCCAGGTTGTCCACCTAATACCCACTAAACCCTAAACCTCCGCGTCGCCCGACTCATCAGCGTCTCGGTAGGCCATGTGTTGTGCGTGACCTGCGGTCTGCTACAACGTCTCCTTATGTGTTTCAGTCTCTGGGAACGCCGGGTTGGTTCCCTTTACCCCGCACATTCTATCGATGTCGTTAAGCGATCATCGATAGAGGGTCTGCTGGTTCTCTTGAAACTCTTGTTTTCAAAAAATCAAGAGTTTCAAGTCCTCTTACCAATATGTTGTTCCTGGTCCTGGTCCTGAAGGGTCCTGGTCCTGGTGGGTCCTGGTCGTGGCGGGTCCTGGTCCTGGTTGGTCCTGGTCCCGGTGGGTCCTGGTCCCGGTGGGTCCTGGTCCCGGTAGTTCCTGGTCCTCTGCATCCACGCCGTGGGGGGGGGGAGCAACCGCGGGTTCTCCTAGTCTCCTAGTCAAGGTTCCAGTTAGCGGGTGCCAACTGGGACCTTGGTCTAGGGTACCTGGTTCTGCGGTTGCGAGGCCTCTCGTCCGGATCGTAGTCCATGAGGAATCGAAGCTGCTCGTTCGGGTGGTCCAGAGCTTTCTGGAAGGTCTTCTCCGCTTTTTTCCTCATGTACTCGTGAATGGTGTCCCAATGCAGGTCTCTACGCAAGGTTGAGTTTCTTACGTAGGATGGTGCACTGGTGGCGATCCGGAGTAGCTTCATCTCTAGAGCAGCAAGTCGCTTGCGGTAGCTGGGGGCAGCGTACCCCCACACCGCGGAGGCGTAAGCGAGCTGAAGTCTGGCGATGGCCTTGAGCAGCCGTAGCTTGGTCGCTAGCGGCATCCGGCTGTGTCTACCCAGTAATGGATAGAGTTGAGCCATGGCTGCTCTGGTCTTTGCGATGACAGCTTCTATGTGGTCTTTCCAGGTGAGGGACTTGTCAAATACGATCCCCAGATATTTGACTTTGTCGCTCCATTGGATATCTTCGTTGAAGATGGATGCTTCGAGAGGTCTTGCAATCCTTCTTCGTTGGATGAAGATTGCCTGCGTCTTCTGGACGTTGATGCGGATTTTCCATTTCACGCACCAGTCCTGGATGTGGTCCAGTTCATCCTGTAGTCTCCTACGGATGATCTCGGGTCGTCGATGCTTGGCGGCTATAGCAGTGTCGTCTGCATATAGGGCCAGCATTGTGTCAGCTATCTTCGGTACGTCGTGAGTATAGATGTTGTAGAGCAGGGGGGCTAAGGCTGGCCCCTGGGGCACGCCTGCTTCCAGCTGTCGTCTTGTTGAGTGGCATGTACCAATCTTCACCGTGAACCATCTTTGTGTTAGATAGCTCTGGATCAGTTGGCACATGTTTGCATCGATGTGGTGTGGTGATGTTTTCTGTCAGTCGTAGCGCTTGGAGTTCCGTGTTGTGGGAGGATCTGAAGCCGAATTGCTCTGGGGGGAGAAGTTGCAGTTCTTCTGCCTGCTTCTCTAGTCGAACGGCGATAGCCTTTTCGACTACTTTGCCCATCGAGGAAACCAGGCTGATGGGCCGGTAGTTCTGGGGCAACTTCCGGTCCTTGCTTGGCTTGGTGAGCATTATAACCTGGGCTTCCCGCCACCGCCGCGGGAAGTGGTTAAGTCTCAGAGTGGCATTGGCGATGTTGGTGAGCGCAGCAATGCCTTGGTGACGTCTGGCAGACCCCTACACACCAAATAATGCCTGTGTTTCGTCTTCAAATAAAGCGAACGCACTGAGCATCGTATGACTTGTCTGGCACCAATAGGCGAGGGATTAGGTGACCCGATTGGTCAGGAGGCGTTACTACCGTGGAAGATACGGGACAGTTTATTTGACAACGGGGTCAGACTCCACATGATCGGTTAAGGGTTAAGCATTTTGAGGTGTATACGTTTGTCCGTTCGATCGTCCTTATTGCTAGACTTGGTCATTATTTCGTTTTTGAATGATTTTAAACTATTTTGAATCTAGTTAAGATTTCACTAAACTCATTCCTTAGCAGTTCCTATTACGTACGCATGTTCCCGTTGATATCTTACTGGTGTGCTTAATTTCATTTTTCAGCACAGAGTGAAACTTTTTGGTAGTTACCGATACCAAAAAGCTATTCATATCCGCTGTGCAATATTACGTTACCCAAAATGACTAAATGCAGCATGTGGAATGCTAAGTATACTTAGTGACAAAAAACAAAACAAAACAACAAGTGTTTACCTTTTTTTATCACTCAGTATATACATCTAGTCTTCGCCTTAGACTATCCTAGACTCTCCTTCCAAGGCGATTCTCTAAACTGACAGAAATGATGAAAGCAGTTTCAGTTGCACAATCTTAATTATTATAATAATATTATTTTACGATTCAATCAGCATCAACAAATTCACAGTTGTTTATGCTTCTATTGCCGAACGTGTAATAAATTACTATTATATTACCTACTTGATTTTCAATTGACAATAATTTTGCCTTTTTCCAGCATCTCATGGGAATGGGCTACTTTCGAGTAAATGCTTACTACGTTTTTGCAAGAGTTATACAGGATGGCGCATGGAAAACGAAATACACGCATTTACTGGCAGCTCAGCTTTTTTTTGGAAAAACGCTCGGACGCGATTTTGTTTTCGAGGGGGACACAAGTTTGGCAAAAAAGCACGTTAACACGTGCAGCCCTCTGGGCGAGGGCGACACCAACCCTAAAATCTTAAATGGAAAGGGGGGTCGAGTGGTTCCTTATTTTAAAGGCCTTTCAACTCCCTTTATAATGATGTAAAATACACGAGTTCAGTAGTTTTGAAGATTTATTGATTTAAAGCTTAAAGTAGACTTTAATAGGTACGCCAGATTAGTTTGTACTACTTTCAGAAGAAATTTGACTAAAAGAATTTACTTAATAAGTAAATGCTTTTCTTCACTACGCCCATGGCTTGTTTATCATTTTGTTGTTGAAAATAGCTATTGGAGCGTTTTTTTATGGCAAAAGAGTTATTTCTTGAAGAAAGATATGGAAATATCTCGTACTTATTTCAAATAGGAATTTAGTACATAGTTTGCGATTGATTTGACCAAACTTTGTTGCTAAAATAACTTGTAACGCTTTATTACATAAATTAACCATGCTATATTCCACAGCAGAAAGGGTTGAAATTATTGAAATATTTTTCGGAAATAATCAGTACGCTAATTGAACAGCAGAAATATTTAATGAGCGACATGAGAACAGTAACGTGCATCGAAAATATGTTCTAGAACTTGTAGCTAAATTTCGGGAAACTGGGTCAGTCGCAACATTGAAAATCCCATAAGGAACGAAGCAGTAGAAGTGGGGATTTTAGGGCAAGTTTATGTAGTAGTACCCGCAAATTGGAGACTGTGTGTGGTGTTAGTAGACGTATTGTCCAACGGATTCTAACGGCCCATAGTTTTCATCCGTATAAAATTCATCTGGTACAAGAACTTAATGAAGACGATTTTGATCGGCGATTACAATTTTGTGAAGATATGAGTGAACGAATTATAAACGATGAACATTTTCTATTCAACACTTGCTTTTCCGACGAATGTTCCTTTTCCTTAAATGGCGTAGTAAATCGTCATATCTGCCGATATTGGTCCGATTCTAATCCCAGAATTTATCATGAGGTTCATACACAGCAGCCACAAAAATTAAATGTTTGGGCTGGTATTTTTGGCGATCATTTAGTTGGTCCTTTTTTCTTACCTGGAAATTTGACCGTCGAAATGTATTTGGAATTACTGGAAGACGCCATAGATCCTGCATTAACAGCCATAATTGAAAATCAGAATGATCGGCGGTACATTGCGAATAGGTTGATGTTCCAACAGGATGGTCCCCACCACATTACGCATTAAGTGTTCGACAATATTTAGATTAGATGGATTGGTAGAAGAGGTGCCATTGAATGGCCACCAAGATCGCCAGATTTATCACCTATAGATTTCTTTATGTGAGGTCATTTAAAAAGCAAAATATATGCTACTCAGCCAACATCATTAGAAGACCTGCGGCAAAGAATTGTGAATGAGTGCCTTCAAATTACTCCTCAAATATTGAAAAATGTGCGGCTACGTTTTGAACAAATTCTTTACTATTGCATGGAGAGTCATGGTGGCCATTTTCAACATTTACTTGCCTATCGGGTCAGTTCATTCTTCATCTTTAAATTACTTTGTTGCCAAACGTATTGATCTCCACTAATGATGATGTATTAGTTTTATTTAAGCTTTAAATCAATAAATCTTCAAAACTACTGAACTGAAGTACATTAATTTTATATCATTATAAAGGGAATTGAAAGACCTTTAAAATAAGGTATCACTCGACCCCCCTTTCCATTTAGGGTAAAAGGAGGAGAGATGGACCAGGAGGATAGACGGTCCACCGAAAATATCCGGCAAGGTTTGGCAATAAGGCAAGACTAACCTACTCTGTGTTGTTCCCTAACGTCAGTTGTGTCTGAGACGGCTACTGGAGGGCATCATCGCGCACCTACGCGAATGTTATTTACGATAATTGAATTTACCACGTGTTAAAATTTTATCAGAGTTTTGAAAACCTGTTTTTTTATAAAAATCAGGTAAGTTTATCCGATTTTTTGTTGATTCACTATTTAGATATATATACAAGGTATACTATAGAGTGCCAATTGTAGCTTTAATCTGCATATTTTAGATGCTAGGGACTAGTCCATCTATCCTCCTATTTGAGGATAGATGGACCACTTAAAAGGAGGAGAGTTAACAGGTATATTTTGTTTCAGAATTATGCCCCATAAATACATCCGTAAACAAAGCACACCAGAAAGGGGTTCTTGTTCCCCTAGAGCTTTTAGTGATGCAGTAGATGCTGTGAAGAATGGCGATATGGGCATCAATGAAGCCGCCAAAGCATTTGGGATACCAAAAACAACTTTCAAGCGTCGGTTAAAAGCAAACAACACTGATAAGAATGATCGATCGGGCCCGGATTGTTCTTTGGGCTCGAATGCTGAACTTAAAATTGTTAATCACATCAAGAAACTGCAAAAGGCAGGCTTTGCACCCACCAGAACTGAAGTAAAAATCATGGCGTTTAATTTAGCTCAGCGAATGGGGATCCCAAATAAATTTAATCAAAAAGAAGGTAAATTTTGAAAATATGAAACACACATTGTTGTTACTAATTATCGATTTTTTTAGGTAAAGCTGGCCAAAAATGGTTAGAACTATTTTTAAAGCGAAGACCTGAAATTTCAATCAGGAAATCGGAAAACACCTCAATTGCGCGAGCTTTGGAAATGTCCAGAGAAACCGTTGGTAATTACTTTTCTGATCTCGAGAGAATTATGACTGAACATAACTTTTATGATAAACCCGGGCATATATTTAATACAGACGAAACAGGATTACAGCTGAATACCAGAGCTGGCCAGGTACTAGCCGAAAAAGGCTCAAAATGCGTTCCTAGTGTAAGCCCTGGGGAAAAAGGCGAAACAATCAGCGTTATAGCATGTTGTAGTGCAGAAGGGATTTTCTTGCCCCCGTATTGTATTTTCAAAGGAAAAAATGGAAAAGGGGACTGGTTAGAAGGTATGCGACCGGGTTCTAAGATTAGAATGTCAGAAAAATCAGCTTACGTTAACAGCGACATTTTTTTAGAGTGGTTACGAACCCATTTTCTACCAAGAAAGCCCCCTGGTAAAACTTTATTGATATAAGATGGCCACACGTCCCATACAACCAACCTGGACCTACTAGAATTTGCAGAACAAAATGAAATAATTTTGTTTTGTTTACCAGCCCATACAACGCACTATCTACAGCCTCTCGATCGTGCCTTTTTTAAATCTCTTAAAAGCAACTTCTACGCTGAATGCCGTTTTATGGTTCAAAATAACCCAAACAGGGTCCTAAATCGCCTTCAATTTGGTAAGCTGTTAGGTCGAGCATGGGGAAACTCAGCAACTGTTCAAAATGCGACTTCTTCATTTAAATCCACGGGAATTTATCCATTTAATCCATTAGTTATCCCGGAATATGCTTTTTTGACACAGACACCCGCCCAAACGCCTCAAACAGAAACATCGCCGATGAACAATTCAAAATCCAAAAGCTTCACCTTGTAGCCCTAACACGTCATCAATTCCTGATGAAGTTATAACTCCTGGAAAGGCTCTTGATGAAATAATGCCCGTGCCTGTTTTATCTGCAGCAGTAAAAAGATATCCGGTGAGATTACATCTGAATAATTTATTAAAAATAAGAAAGATGCACAAATCAAGAAGAGCTCAAAACCTGTGAAGAAAACAAAAAATAAGATAAAGCTCAGCGAATCGTCAGTCTCTGAAGATGATGCTACTCTTGATGACAGTTCTAGTGGTGATGAAGACTTCAGTGATTTAGAAAATGAGTGTGTCGGATGCAAGGAGGACTATCGCCAAACATGTAAACAAGATGACTGGTTACAATGTATTTTTTGTAAGCGTTGGTTACATGAAACTTGTACTGGCTTCTTTAACCTTTGTAATAAGTGTGGAAAGTCTGTAGCTACCAAAAAATAGAAATCTTAGCATGGTCCATCTCTCCTACCCCTAGTGGTCCATCTCACCGCCACAGGGTAGGATAGATGGACCAATGACATACCTCTCATTATATATTTTTTTTAGCTCTATGAATGGATGTTTTTAGTTTTAATCTGTACCAAAAGAAATACCAATGTTAAGTTATGCTATATATTTTTTTAGTTTTGTTGTTTTTTTATTAAAGGAGCACGCCTAAGTGTTTTAAAATGTGGTCCATCTCTCCTCCTTTTACCCTAAGATATTGGCGGTGGTGTCACCCCCGCTTAGGGGGCTGCACGTGCTAACGTGATTTTTTGCCAAACTTGTGTCCCCCTCGAAAACAAAAACGACGGGTCTGAGCGTTTTTCCAAAAAAACATCTGAGCTGCCAGTAAATGCGTCTGTTTCGTTTTCGATGCGCCACCCTGTGTGAGAATATCAGCTATAAAAATGATAATCTATACGCCTCATATGTTGAACTGTTTCCCAACCATTATAATAAAATACAAAACTATATTTGCAATGTTTCTTATACTATGTTGTGTTTCAGTGCTGTTGTGTAATGCTAGTTATTTCTTTATATGTATTTGAACTTTCTCAGTCCCCATGGAGGCAAAATTTATGCTGGGAGTATACCCTCATCGAGGGACAGAAAAAGATCCCTACGTTTTTGGCTCATAACTGCACGACATTCGGTGCGATTCACAGAATGATATCTCACCACCATAATGGTCGACCCACCTAGCAGTTATGGTGGTCGTCTATCGCATCGTGCAGAACTTTATGAGCCAGAGACGTACGGTTCTTCTGTCGTCTTCATAGTATAGAATTGGTAGACAGAGACAAACATACAAGTGATATTTTATGGGGTTGTCCAAAATGGACGCAGGAAAGTAAACGCATATTAAAACAAGAAAATTGATATTCAAATCAAGTTGGGTACTTCATTTTGAAGGCTCATTTATACCATTTATGTATGAAACATAATATCGCTCAAATTTTCACCACGACTGGATTTACAGACGTCCACGCGATGGTCGAAATTTTCAATGACATTTTGCAACATGGTCGGTTCTATGGCATTTATCTCGGCAATGATGTTGTTTTTGAGTTCTTGGAGGGTGGTTGGTTTGTTGACGTAGACTTTGCTTTTCAAATATCCCCATAAAAAGAAGTCCAAGGGAGTCAAATCGCATGATCTTGGTGGCCATGGCACATTTCCTCTGCGCGAAATCACGCGATCACCGAAGAAGGACTACAATCGATGGATATTAACGTTGGTTGTGTGGCATGTTGCAACGTCTTGTTGGAAATAAACATCGTCCATATCCATTCCTTTAAGTTGCGGCAAAAAATAGTCCCCTATCATCACGTGATATCGCTCAGAATTGACGGTAACGGCGTCCCCGGCCGCATTTTCGAAAAAGTAAGGGCCGATGATGCTTTTTGACCACAATGCACACCACACAGTCACTTTTTGAGGATGCATCGGCTGCTCTTGTTACACACAGGGATTTTCGTTCGCCCAGATCGACGCGTTGTTGATTGTTTCGGATCGTCTCTCACACTCTCCTTCACAACAGCAATATTTTCCGGTGTGCGAACGCTCCTTGGCCGGCCAGAGCCTGGCAGATTTGCCACAGAACCTGTTGCCTCGAATTTACGCACCAGACGACCGACGGTTGTTTCGTTTGGGCGGTTGTTGCGACCGAAATGTTCACGAAGCGCGCGAAACGTGTTTTTTATTTTTGCACCATTTTTGTAGTGCTCTTGAATAACTTCAATGCGGCCTTCAATCGAATACGACTCCATAGCGATCAATGGTAAACATTCGACTAACAAAATGACATGTCGGTGACAGAAAACAAAGAGGGCGTCTATGTCAAATTGACGTTTACTTTCCTGCGTCCCTGGACAACCCATTATAATTTTAGTAACAGGTGTGCCGGGATGCCGGGCACATTGCAAAAATAAATTATCAAGATGGCGGGATGTCTGTAACGTTCGTGTTGAAAGACTATTTTTAGCACAATTTCAATGCAGTTTTTGCAATATCATATTGCTTGCCAAGGTGTTAAGACATTGTATCATTATAGAGATTTTTATGGATGTAAGAATATGCAAAGCAGGCTATTTCGCAAAAGACAAATACTCCTACACTTTGTGTACATGAATGCTATGCCACGGTCTTCAACAGCCTCGGTACCAAGTACGACATGCATTCAACAATACGTTATTGTTCTCATTTGTCTATACGTGTATGGGTACTCGCACTCTCTATTCTAGCAGTTTTTTAAAGAATGTCCTCCATCCATATCTGTACAGTAGGTACGATAAATTGGGTCCGTATTCTCAGGATCAGTTATTATCATTTAACTAAAAGATGACTTCGTTATACAATTGCATAAAATTTTATTGGATTTTTCCTTACTGAAACATGGCTCCATTCCAACGTGTCCGACTCTTCCATCAATTTGCCTGGATACTATTTATACAGAATGGATTCACCATGCACTCCTGGTTTTGGTGGAGTATGCATATTTATGTTCGCACGGAAATCGCGTCGGCTTTCTCGGTATCTCCCTCTTTCAGTCCTTTCGATGGCATTGACAATCTATTTTTGGAATTGAGGTGCCCAAATTTCAGCTTCACGATAGGCTGCATATATCGACCACGGCCCTGTTTGGGAGACACACACCTTGTGCAGTCTCATTTCAGATCTCTTAAATAAAAACACCAACCTTTTCATAGCTGGTGACTTCAATCTACGTGACATTAGCTGGCCTATGTCAACCATTCCTGAATGAAATTCTTCTTCTGCTGCTTACATCGACTTGCTACGCAACTCTAGCATATCTCAACTTGTTGATCGTCCAACGAGATTCAGGGAAGGACAGACGCCTAGGGCTCTGGATTTGATATTCGTTAACGACGCCGACTTTGTTTCTAATTTAGATTATTTGCCACCTTTTGGCAAGTCTGACCACTAATCACTTTTATCTTCTCTCCAGTTCAATATAAATAGTCGTTCTACAACCGATAAGTTTAAAACCATCAAAATTGTAAACCACGATGCTCTTAACCAAGCCCTGTCTGAAGTCAACTGGCCTGCTTTGCTTAACAACCGTAGCACCCAAGATATGTGGGACACTTTCGCTCAACGAGTCCTAAGCGAAACGGCTGACAATACTGTTGAAAAGAAGGTATACTGTGACCCCTCAAAGCCCTGGATCAACTCTAACATATCGAGATCTTTGTGACAACGGTTTAGGAGGAGCGGCCATTCACAAGATTACGTATCTCATCGATCCTTTTCTAACCTCCTATCTAGAACGTTACATAATGCCAAACATGCTTATGAACGAAAACTCGTCACCTCCAAAAATAAGAAGGAGCTGTTTCGGTATCTAAGAACAAACCTGAATTCCAAAGTTTCATCACCTCAGATCTGCGACGCTGACGGTCATCTCCACATGGATGCCACCGAATCTGCCAACTTACTGGCAGAGTCCTTTAGCGATGACTTCGTCGATGAGCCTAATGGAGACCTTCTACCGACCACTATCTGCCATAGGTGTCCCAACAGCCTTTGCGAAGTTGAGTTCCTGCCTGAAGATGTATTAATGCACCTGCGAAATCTGAAGACCTCTTCCTACCCTGGTAAAGATGGGATGACGGCTGCTGTACTTAAAAACTGCGCTTCAGCACTGGCCCTACCATTAAGCTTGATATTCACATCGTCTTTTAGATCTCATACCCTACCCTCATGCTGGCTTAGTGCTTCTGTTACCCCTGTATTCAAAAAGGGCGACAAATCCTCCGCTAAAAATTATCGACCAATAAGTCTCGTTCCTATCGCCGCCAAAATAGCTGAAAGAATCATATTAAATAACCTCCTGTCATTTGCTTTAGAAAATGACCTTATCCCTAAGAATCAGCATGGATTTCTCCCTGGTCGATCAATAATGACCAACCTTCTCCAGTCTCTCAACGATTGGACTCAGTATCTGGACACAAAGACTCCTGTTGATATAATCTACTTAGATTTTTCTAGGGCTTTCGATCGCGTACCACATAGAAGGGTTGTGTTTAAGTTGGAATGTATGGGAATAAGAGGCGAGTTGTTACTGTGGATTAAGGCTTTTCTCACCGGGAGGA